TGCATACCTGCATACATGCATACATGTATACATGACATCAATCCATCCATCCATCCGTCCGTCCGTCCATCCATGCATCCAGACATGCATGCATGGATACATACATACACATGCATACACACACACATACATACACATGCACCTACCTTTCCTACCTACCTACCTACCTACCTACCTGCCTGCCTACCTGCCTGCCTGCCTGCCTACCTACCTACCTACCTACCTGCCTCCCTGCCTCCCTACCTACCTACCTACCTACCTACCTACCTACCTACCTACCTACCTACCTACACAAATACATATATACATACATACATACATACATACATACATACATACATACATACATACATACATACATACATACATACTTTCTCACATACATATATATATATATACATACACACACGGCGTCCATGCATGCCGGCATGCTGACGCTCAGGTTTATAGATATGTGCAGGTATATTGGTACATGTGCACATACATGTGCACCTGCCATTATGCAGAATTTGCGCATGTACCTGTTCATGTGCCCAAGCCAGCATGGATTAGTGGATGTTTGTCTCTGGATCTTGTCATAAGCCCTACATGCTAAACCCTGCCTTCGACAAGTTGATCATGGGGCCTTGGCAGGCGATGGCCTCGCTGGACCCGATGTGGGCCATGGTCTGAACTGGCGAGCTGAGGTTGGCGGGAAGCTAGGTTCTGCTTAATGGGCTTCATAGATTGGGACAACTTCGCATACCTTGGCACATGACGTAGATATTCAGTAAGTCGTCGTATGCCGGTTCTTTTGGGAACTCTTTTAGAATAAGTTGCCTAACAAGAACCCAGGAAGAAGTGGCTGGAGGTCACCTGGAGTCCTGACCGTGCCCCTTACGTAGAATGGCTGCTCGGATCTACCCAGAAAGGTGTCGGCCCAAGCCAACTCTTGGAGCCGGGCTTATATCCTACACCCGTAAAGCCAAAGCCTAAACCATCCCAAACCCTTAAAGCCTAGACCCCTAAACCCTAAACCCTAAACCCCAAAGACCCCTAAAGCCTTTCTAAGGACTTTCCCGGACCCTGCGGAAGCTCACGAAGCGGCGGCAGAGGACTTTGCGGCCATGCTCCGAGCCCTGGCCAAGGCGCGCGCCGAGCGATCCCGCGAGGAAGTACTCTCTTTGGGGTGTTGGTTTAGGGTTTCGGGTTTAGGGGTTTAGGGGTTTAGGGTTTAGGGTTTCGGGTTTAGGGTTTAGGGTTTAGGGTTTAGGGGTTTAGGGGTTTAGGGTTTAGGGTTTCGGGTTTAATCCCAGCCGGAGCAACGCGGAACACTGCGAGCGGAGAGGTGGATGATCGAAGCTTTTCAGCTGCCAGGAGGGGAGTGGATCCTGGTTTCGGGGGATGGCAGGTGACTCAGCCAAGTTAAGAGTGCGCACGGTGTGTGTATGTGTCTGTGTGTGTACATACAATATCATATTATCAATTCTCATATTGTCAATTCAATACACAATGTGAAATACGCAGTAGTTTGCGGAATACAGCCTGTTGTAAAGTAGGTACAAGGTATGCAATACGATAAGGGTGGATTGTCAAAAAGCTTTTCCTAAATACCAATAGTGGTCAATGCTCGATAGGTTCTGGTGGTGCTCCTCGCCTGAGACATGCTTAATTCCTGCGGATAGGTGCGGTTGGTGTGGAGTTGCTCTGCGGGCCGTGCCGCAAACTTACGACCAATACCGTGATTTCTGTCCAAACCTGCAAGTGGAGGGCTCTGGATATTTTGATGAGACAGCCGACTTAGGCTTGCTCAACCCTAAAAGCTTAAATCCTACACTCCAAAAACGAGAACGCCTCAGCCCCAAACCCTTCGAGGTATCTTCGAAGCGCTGCCGAAGTGCCAGCGCTCGTCGCCCTACGGCGGAAAGGCCGAGAACGAAGCCACCGCCAGGTGCCGGGAGCCAGCCTTTTCTGAATACGGCCTTTCTGGGGTATTGGCGGCTGCGCTCGAGGTCCATCGTTTGGGGGTGGAGGGTTGAGCATTTCATCATTTGTTTAAACTTTCATCATTTGTTTAAAGGTGTTTCGTATTTTTTGCCTTTGGCACGGGGCCCGTCTGGCGGCTTGGCGGCTGCTCGGCTTTATGGCTTCTTGGCTTTGCCGCTGTCCGGCCTTGTCACCCCTTGGCTCTGGCTCTCTGGCTTCTGGGCTGCTGGGTTCCTGGGTTCTTGGCGTCTTGGAGTATCGGGCCAATCTAGTAGGTAAGATTGCAGCTTTGTGCGTATGTGTGCGTACATACGCACATGCACACATACATTTATGTCACAGGTTTGCGATGTAGCATATACGACATCCTTGACAGTTTGTGAAGGTTGAAAGGCGCTTAGCGGCTTAGCGGGGCTTCTTGAGGAAGTGGGCGAGCGCCCAAGCAATGGTTTTTGCAAGGAGAGCACCCCGAGGGTGGTGGGAGCGCGGCATCGGAACAAGCAGTCAGTTCGCGAAGCAGGGACAAGCAAACACATAAACAGCAACTCGAATTGCGTCCTTTAGGATTCAGGGCTGTATGGTACATGGCTTGGAGGGCGAGTTACTATCAGCTGATTATGCTACACGTTTTCCAGTCTTCTCTGCATGCCCACATGGTTGAGTCCTCTGAGAGCTCTGACCAAATCAAAGGGTCCCCAGTCCAAAACGCTGAACCCCCAAAAACTTAAATTTTGAAGTTCAACCCTAAACCCAGGACCCTTTAATCTCAAGCCCACCCACAACTTCCCTCCCCCCCAAACCCCAAACCCTAACCCAAACACTATAGCCTATATACCCCCCCCGCCCGCTTCCTCAAAAGCAACCTTGGAGGATCATGGGACTTAGTANNGTTACCCTAACTATAACCCTACTTACAAAGTCCCATGATCCTTTAAGTAAACCCTAAATCCTAAACCCCAAACCCTTATAGATCCCTTTAAGGGAACCCTATAAACCCTTATAGCCTTACTTACTAAGTCCCATGATCCTCTAAGACGAGGTGCTTGCTAGCGACCTTCTTGCGCGACCTGGAGACCATGGCAGACCCGTTGGGCCCCGCGCCGGGAGCGCAGCGAGGAGCTCTGAAAGAGCTGGAGGCGGGGGCCTTTAGGGTTTAGGGTTTAGGGGGGTTAAGTTGGTCTTGATGTTGAGGAGAGGGGGGTTGTATAGGGCCTTATAGACGTTTCCGAAGTTTAGGATTGAAGTGGTTTCCGAAGTCGGGGTTTTGAAAGTCGAGGGGTGTGGGCTGTAGTCAGTGTAGTGTTGTGCAAGGAGCACCTGAGCACCTGTTCCTCGATTTTCCTGCCCACTGCCCCGGCAGGAGCAGTGCGAGCAGCTGTTGAAGGACAGTCTCCGGGCACACGGTTTAGGGTAGAAGATGGTTCGCCGCCTCAGGTAGACAGCCCAGCCGTGAGAGAGTCTGGATTCCGACATATTCCCACGTGCGCGGCAAAGGACACCGTCGGTGAGATTGACTATGCAGCAGCTGGCGGAGACTTCATGCAGGTTCGTACGTGAGACTATAAATTATATAAACTAGTCGATACTGGTGCGCACTGTGATGTACTATTGAGTTGTTCTTGGTATCTGCCAGTATGTGCACTACTAGTAGGTGAAGATGTAAACAAGACTCACAGAGCGAGGGAAGGAGATCGCACACATACCCGTTGCCTTGCAGAAGAAGCGATCCACGCAGCGAAGAGGAACACCCAATGCTGGTCGCGAACGACCGGAGTAGCTGCCTTGCCAAAAGGAGCGAGCGCTAATCCATGTATGTGTTCAGCCCTGAGCTGTGTCCATGACTTTCCACCCTGCTGTTGCAGTGACTTTGTTCGAGCAGATGTTCGTTCTGTTGTTTCCTCTGTGAGAGAAGTACTTATGGGGCTCTTGAAGGGGACCACAGCACTCTTAGGCCCTTGGGCATCGCTGCCTTGAATCTACTACCACCGAGACCTGCAAAAACGGTACTTCGTGACAACCGACCCGGACGGGAGTAAAACCTGCGACCTTGCAGTTGTGCTGGTGCCTTTCCGCTACCGTGCTACGGGCTAAGAGCCGGACATCCTGTGGGCCACAGAGGCACGGCGACAAGGTGGGGAGTCCACACTGTTCAGGGTGGGAGCAGTTTCTGAGGCCTGAGTGTCACGCAAGCGACCCCAATGCCCAACACAAACAACGAACGAAAGCAAGAAAGCGACAGAGAGAGAGAGAGAGAGTATCCTTCTCAGACAAAGAGAGCGATAAACATTTGGTGGGGAAGCAGCACGACGAGCTGTAGTCATGATATGTATACATGCATGCAAACATGACAACATACATGACACCCTGCATGTACATGTACGTGCACACATTACACAGGCACAAGCATACACATGCACACATACACACGCATATATATATATATATATATATATTATATATATATATATATTACATACGTATGTATATACTTTTGTGTACACATATGTATGTATGTATCGATACATGCATACACACACGCACACATTCCTTTGCCAACGGCGGTGCTTTTGGGTCTTGTCGAGCTGCCAGGAAGCTCTCCCAGTGGACCCCGCCACCGGGCCCGTCCAGCTAAAGCTTTGGCACCGCCTCGTGCAGACTGGCCTCATTAGTGTGATGGATGAGGATGATGATGATGACGATGATGATTGTCAGTATCATGATGATGAGCATTAGTCTCGTGGCACTGGTGATGGCTTCTATGTACAATGATTAGACTTGTGATGATGTCGTTGTTGATGATGTGATGGCGGTACGTGTCACGACGAATGATAGTGATGAGCCTTACGATGTTGTTGATGATGGTATCAGTGCTATGATGAGTCTTGGTATGATCGTGATGCTGATCTGTTAATGACACTGAGCTTTAGTACTATGCTGATGATTGTTAGCCGTTATCCTTGTGGTCATGATGGTTGTTAGTATTCTAATGAGTGGTTGGCATGGGATGATGATGACGATGGTGATGATGATCATGATGAATTTTATGGTGACGGTGGACGATGTTGATGGTTGCGATGATGATGATAACACCTATCATCACCGCATCATCGCGATGCTGGTTATTCGCATGATGTTAACGGTGATGAAAAAGAAGATGATGATGGTGATGATGATAACGATGAATCTGAATCGTACTCCGGTCATGATGGCTAGTAAGGTTCAGTTGTCACGATCACCTCTACTACTTTCATGATGCTGACTAGTAGCAGGATGGTTGCGGTTAGTCTTGTGATGATGGCTGTTGTGATTGCGATGATGAGGTGTTGATGAGCGTGCTGGTGCTAATGATGTCGATGACGATGACCACAACGGTCATGATGATGATAATGATGATGATGATGATACTTCTGATTCTGATCATGACTTGTATTATGGTGGCTAATCCCGAGATGATGCAGGAACGGCCATGATTAGCAGCATGACCTTCTGAAGTGTGTTTTGCTGGATTAAATGTCCAGGCACGAAGACTAAAGTCTTTTTTTAACCTGGAAGAGTCCATGCCGTGCAATGGATGTCGAGTTGACCTGCGAGTCCAAGGTACCTGCCTCTGGTCATGTCGGCAGCTCAGGTTCCAAAGGGACTCGGGTCCTTCGAAAATCCCTGATGGTGCCTCGCAGAGCGAAGGTATGTGCGCAACACGGTGCACCTCTACGAGATGTTGGAACGGCTCAAGGCAGGGCCGCTAGAGCCGCGGAGGAAGCTCCCACTCAAGATGCTTTCGAGGGAACCTTCTTTTAGACGTCGGTTCTACGCTAGAGTGCCGCAGTACATGCTGGCCCTTTCAGGAAATCGTGTACAAAAATGAGCATCGCCCATTGCAACAGCCCCTAGCCCCCCAAGTACCTACTATATAGGGCCCTAGGGGTACCTGGGGGGTTAGGGAGCCCTCATCAGGAGTCCCGGCTCCAATCCCACCAGAGATCCCTCAGATCCCTCACGGAAGCCCTTAGCCAAGGTCCAGAATAGCAACAATAATCATGCTCATACTCTAAACCCTGAACCCTAAGCCCTAAACCCAAAGCCTTAATTACTAAAACCCTAAACCCTAAGACCTAATTACTTTACTAATCCCTAAACCCTAAGCCCCAGGCCCTAATTCCAAAACCCTAAACCCGAAGCCCTAATTCCTAAACCCTAAACCCTAAACCCTGAACCGCCTATGCCCATCTCTTACTTGGAGGTTCGTGGGCAGTTATAAGTGGGGTTCTAAGTAGGGTTACTATACTTATAACCCAAATTAGGGGACTTATAACCCTACTTATAACTACCCATGAACCTCCAAGTATACCCTAAACCCTAAACACGATACCCTAAACCCTAATTCCTAAACCCTAAACCCTGTATTAGGGGACTTATAACCCTGCTTATAACTGCCCATGAACCTCTAAGTACTCAAAGCGGCGAAGAGGCCCAGGCCTCCGGTGCCGGCCAGGGCCGGCTGCGTGCGCTGCTGGATGCGAAGGCCGAGACCAGTGGGAAGTACTCTAAACATGAAGAAGTTATAGTATCGTAAAGTAGAGTATGTAGTATCGTAAAGTAGAGTATAGTATATAGTATCGTAAAGTGGAGTATGTAGTATCGTAAAGTAGAGTATAGTATGTAGTATCGTAAAGTAGAGTATAGTATATAGTATCGTAAAGTAGAGTATAGTATATAGTATCGTAAAGTAGAGTATATAGTGTGGTGTAGTGTAGTACAGTATAGTATAGTATAGTATAGTATAGTATAGTATGGTATAGTATAGCATAGTATAGTATAGTATAGTATAGTATACCATAGATAGTATGTTACGTTGTGAGGGTTCGATCTTTTCAGCAGGGAGGGCGTTGGCCTTTGTCGTTGCTTTCTTTCTCCTGCCTGTCTGTTAGTCTTAAACTCTGCAGGGGACTGCACGAGAAAGCCCTTACTCCTGGCGCACGGCTCAGATGCTTTCACACAATCTCTTCTGTCTGGCTTGGGCGCACGATTAGGCTGGTTTTCAGCATAGTGGGCGCCCTGCAAACCCTCTATCATGCACGGGCTGCAGCGGAAAAGAGAGGAGGCCTGCATGTGCTTCCTTGAACCGGAGCGTTTGATGCCAGACCCAGCCAGGCTGTGATGCATTCCCGCTGGAGTTGCTGGCAGGCAGCTCAGGGCGACCTGAGAAACCTACTCCACTCCCTGCCAGTCACGATTACTACGAAGAGGGGGATCGTGGTTCGATGTGGTGATGAGGCCAGCAGCCCGCCGCAGACCGTTTGGATCCAGGCGGGGCAGACCAGACATGACAGGACTGAGGCTGCGTGAATCCTATGGTTTTGGCCTTTGCTCCAGGATGGCGTGGAGTGGTCGCCATCCCACGGCCTGAACCCCAAGAGCCCACTAGCTCCCACTTCGCAGGGCCTCGATGCTCGCAGGTTCCCATGCCGGGGCTTTCCAGCGCAAGCAGGTGGTCAACTGTGAACCCATGAAGCCCTTGGGTGCGCCCCGGGCCGCAGCCACGAAAACCGCAGCATCCCAAAGCCTGGCGGTTACTTCAGGTACACTGCGGAAGGGCGATGGGCTGATGTACAGAGGCATCTGGCTGCCGGCTGATGCAGACGAGGATGGGCCCCCAGCCAAGTGCTTCGACGACGAAAGGTGGCCCCCCGCGCCTGTCTAGGACACCATCCGCTATCAGTATTCCTTCCAGTCCTTCTCCCGGAGCATTGAAGGCCGGACCGGGCTTCCAGTAGCTCGGAAGACTCGAGGAATATCCGGGCCTCGTGAGGTGTCATGCGGGTACTACGATTCTACAGTGGCGTCGCATCCACGAAGGCTCGTGTAGCAGCAGAGAGTGGATGTTCTTGCTCGGGGCTGGTTGCAATACTGCAATATCTCTGACAACTTTGCTATCCTATTGTATGCTATCGTATGCGATACTACAGCAAACCTACTGTAGTATTTTGATATGCCAGGCAGGGGAAGCAGCGAGGGCAGGGCACATCCTGATGTACATCGGCCAGAGGCTCAGACAAAGGTTGGCCGTGGCCTTCATTTTTCTGCCCGTGCTCTTTTTTGTGGTTTAGCCCTAAACCCTAAACCCTAAACCCTAAACCCTAAACCCTAAACCCTAAACCCTAGGGTTTTTGGGTTTTAGGGTTTAGGGTTTTTGGGTCTAGGCCTCCAAATGTGCAGTAGTTGCTATTTCCAGAGGACATCTCGGCTCAGGCATCGAGTTTCAAGACATGAGACTCGCCATGGCAGCCTCGCAATGACCGCGGATGGCCCCCAAGCTCTGGGAAAAGCCTCCCAGACGGACGAGGTTCCAGCGAACAAGAGCCCTCAAGCAGCAGCCTGTGACGCTCCGACAGACATGCCAGAGGACAGTGCCCTCCTTCTCTCGTCTCTGCTTCTCTTCTTTCTCCGCTCCTGTCGCGGCTCGCCTACATGAAGCGATGAGTAGCAGCAAATCTAAGGTCATTTAACGATGACTAGTAATTTCTGGAAGTGAGTACTCACGTACAATGGTGGCAGTACATGGGCAGGTGTAGTAACGGAGGAGGGGGAGGAGCAGCAGGAGGAGGAGGAGGAGCAGCAGGGCAACTTAAGAGAGCGCTGGGGCCAGCCTGAAAACATTAACACCACTGAAGGAGCACTAACATACTACATGGAGTTATCGTTACGTACGAATAGCACCAACAAGAGTAGATAGTACACGTCGAAGAATACGATGGATGTTATCATTCAGCAAGTCAAAGATCAGACACTAAACTAGATTTACACTATATCATATCATATTGAACACGAGAAGATGAAACCCTAAACCCTAAACCCTAAACCCTAAACCCTAAAAGACAGCTGGCAGGAGCCCATGCCTCGCCGCGAGCACGCCAGGGCCGCCCTGGCGTTTGTGGCCAGCGCCGCCTTCCACGCGGCGATGAGCCTCTGCGTGAAGCTGGCGCCTCGAAGAGATCGGAAGCCAAAGTAGGGCTAAAGATGACTCAATGAAAAAACAAAAGTAGTTAATAGAATATGAAGATCAATAGTGGTAGGAGGTTTTTGGGGGAGTTTTCGGCGTCGCTGTGGTTCGGGAGGTCTTGGCCTGTGGAAGGCCTGGGTTGAGGAAGCTGTTGGTTCGAACATTCGTGTTTCTGATGATAAGGGTTATCATAGGCGTTACTATGTTGGTTCCTATATAAGGACTACTAGCGTTGCTACAATGTACTCACTGGGATACTGTAAGGGTGTGCCCTCCAAGGCCAGTCGCAGCTTTCCAACGTCTCAGATTCTTTGGGCGCGGTACTCCGTGCAGCTGACGGTGACGTCCTCAATACTCCTGTGGCGACGCGAAGCATGTGCCGGTCTTGGCCAAATTCCCGGTAGCCTCAAGCTGCTTTTGCCGCCTGGCTTCACGAGGCATCCAAATTTGCCAATCATTCTTGCTCTGATCATTTCTGTCGGCATCATCACAAAGACGTGCATCATCCTTATCCGCACTCATCCGCATCATCACCACCATCATCAGTCATGGTTGTCATGAGGACGACAATAGCATGATTAGCACATGCAACCGAAGCAGTCGAAAAGCAACACCAGTAGAAGCAGTAGATGCACTAAAAATAGCAGGCCGAAGCCCAGGGCCTTTAGTGGGAGTATGTGGGAGTCATGGAATGGTCTTGGGGTACCCATGTGAGGTCGCTCTAAGATTTTTGAGAGTTCAAGGAATCTGAATGATTATGCTGACCACATTCACAACAGAACCAGTACTTCTCGACACCACCATGAGAACCGTAGTATACTATAATACAATAATATAGCATATAGTATATAATATACTATGACAGAATAATATAAGATAAAATAAGGTAGCTTATGTATGTATTTCTCATTTCCAGCATGCGACCCGTGCCTCGATGTGTTGAGGCTGATGCGCGGGATCCTGGGCATGACCTCGCAGGGCTGCCACATGCTCTCGGTGAGGCTTTTGCCTTTGGCAGATGCAGTTTCGCTTCACACCGTGGCTTCTCTCAATCTGGGGGTTGCTGAAAATAGGGGACCCTAATATAGTACCCTAAATAATAGGATCCTGAATATAAGGACCCCAAAATAAGGTACACCTAATTTTCGGAAACTCCCATCTACTTCGTTGCGCTTAGCTTGCAGCCTTCAGGGTTCAGATTGCCAGAGCCAGCGCTCCTTCTTCACGTTCTGTTGCGGGTCGATCTTTGGCATAGAAGCTCGCGCAAGCCAGAGCATGATGTAGAGAAGCTGACACAGACGCAGGAAACACCCAGTGTTTTTGGCTCAAGAGCTGCTGTCTCAAGTGCTGCCAGCATCCGGGCTAGTTACCAACTCAAGTCTCGCGGATTATGGCCATGTTGCGCGTTTCCTTCCTCGTCTGGGCTCTGAGCTGCGTGAAGACGATGATGGCTGCAGGTACTTGCCAAGAAGCCGTGGAGGCAGCCTACGCGAACTGCCCTCGTGAGATTGGATGCCCGAGCCCCTGTGAGCGTCCCGCCTGTGCCGCGATCGTTGCCTGCCCTCCCGGCTCCACCTACACCTTGAATGGCACGACCTACTCGGCGGAGCGGGTGCAGTCTTTGGCGGAGGCATTCTTTTCCCGATGCTCCTGTTCGCCTGTGGCAACCGCACAAGCTCCGGTCTACCCGTGAGGGGCGATTCTAAGGGACAGATGCATTGAGAATTTTCCGGCACTGGCCAACAGCTTCCGACCTGATGAAGCTGGACAGAGCGCCCTACGCAAAGGTTTGCATCCTTTGGCAATCCCGAAATTCATCAAAGGCTTCAGCTTGACCAGGAGGGTCAAGTAGGATCTTTTGAGCTGAAGCCTGTGTATAGACTTGAAACCTTAATTCAACTCTCGCTATACTCTGCATATGGCTTATGTCACAGCTGCACTTCAATTTTGAGGCAGCAAGCCTGCAAAGGACTCGACGGAAAGCTCGAGCAAGAAAACTTGCTTCCTGCAGCATCTTTCCCTTGTGCTCCTATCTATATGAATAACATATGTATATGTATATGTATATGTATATGTATATGTATATGTATATGTATATGTATATGTATATGTATATGTATATGTATATGTTCATGCATATGTATGATATGTATATGCATACGTATATGCATATGTATATTTATGTGTATATATATATACAGATATAGATGTCAGTTATATTATATACATATGTCTGGGGGCTAAACCCGAAATCCCGACTCGATACCTCCACAAGAAGCTCCCAGGTCTATCCCGTCCTCACGGCGCTGCTTGCGCCTTGCGCCCTCGGCGAGCCCTTGTCCTCGGCTCCTCGGAGCTTCCCTGATTTTCTTGTCCTCTTCGGGCATGCAGGCCCTAAGCCGTAAACCCCTTAAGCCCCCCTAAACCCCAGATGCCCTACCATCGGCACCCATTTGAAGCGACCTCTCGCAGCTAGAGCTAGAGCAGGGGTTTTGGTTTTCATTCCTAACATGGTAATGACATGTTATGACTAAGTAGCTTTCGTAAGGGACTATACGGGAATATGCCAGTCTATCCCGAGGCTTCGCTTGTGGCCGCGCTGGTGGCCACCTTGGGCTGTGCCCTCGTGGCGCGTGGTCGCCTGAACCACTCCGAAGACCAATCCCTTGGGCAGGCGTGCGTTGAATTCTGAAAATCCCCTCAGGGTTGTAGGGTTTAGGGTTGGGGGGTTGATGTAATGTTGGCAGAATGTAGCAGAGAAAGCTATGCAACACTCGCCACTCCAAAACTGGAAACCTTGGGAAGTATCGGAAGGGGATTCGCAGGGATTCGGGCATGAAGTCTCACAAAGTGACCCCTAAACCCTGAACCCTAAA